TTCTTTTATGTTGGGAGGATTTCTTCTATAAAAATAGAACATATATATATATATATATATATATATATATATATATATATATATATATATATATATATATATATATATATATATATATATATATATATATATATAATGTAGTTTTCAATTCCTACTAACCTGGTTTAACTCTGACCTGTCTAAGCCTAGCACTGCCTAATAACTTAATACAATTACAATCACTACCAATGTATCCATCATCTTCCCCATATAATGCATCTAACAATACTTCATTCATCCAATCATGTATATCATTAAAGGAAGTAATCTGTACAAGAACAACGATACATACAAAATGATAGTTGGTAATTGTATGTGTTGAGTAAAAGTATTATTGTCTGCATAGGTATTACAGGTAATGTAGATAAATGTAGATAAAGATGCACTGTGCAGAAAAACTGCTATAGGTTGTTTTTGGCTTCACTAGGATTGCCCTTAAAATCACTTTTGTGTGTGTATGATTTCCAGCATCATGACATATTAAATCTTCTGTGATTTCGCCCATCCAAAAGACCAATTTTGAATAGCTTTGCACCAAATGCATCCCCTCCTACAAATCAATGATTAAAAACTTTGGATATATAGCTCATTCTACTCTGCTTGAGTGTGGGCACAAAGTTATTATTTGTTTTTTCGATATCTTATTTCATTACCAAGAAATTTTTAATGCTTCTGTGATTTTTTTGGCTGGGTCGATTTTGTTCATATTTGGTAGGCAGGTCATACCTTCATTCCTGGCCCACTGTTGCCATGGCAATAGCTAAAATAAATGATTTTTGAATACTTTTGTGCCAAATGTATCATCTCCTATCAGTCTTGCAGCAGTGTTCAAATGATCATGCATTTTATTTTGGCTACATTGCAACCGATGAGAGACCTCCGGCGCCAACATTGTTACACTGTATCAACATAAGTCGCAACGCAACTTTGAACTTTGACTGAACTGCGTTAAATCAAAGAATCTAGAAAATACAATCACAAAATGAACGGAAATTAAAGGTTTGTTATTTAATCAAAACCTAGAGTAAAGGGTCAAATTGTGTGAATATAATAATAACAGCAAAAGGCGTGCTAGAAATAAAGTACATAACGTACATGGGAGCCTAGTATTAGTTATAAACCAACATTAACTTCATGTTTGTTATAATGTTTACTAGTTACTGCCAATTATTACTTACACCAAACAGTGAATTGTGATTCAATAACTTATGCTTTGAATACTATCAGTATTTACAAAAATAAACAAAAAACTCTGGTCACATGATATAAGATAATGTACTAAGGCATGACAACCAATCACTGTTGTGAGTATGAGCTTGTAATCCTTCCTTCGCCTTGTGACGATATCACTATCGCCTGCACTATCTAGGGAGATGTGATTTCCAGTAACCTGTGGCCAGCACATGTTCAATGGTGACTCACTGTGGACACCAATAAGTTATCCAGGGCCTTAAATTAATTTTACCAGTGTAAGATTCCTTTGGAGAGTCTGACTTTTTATAAGCACTGCTAATGGTCTTTAGAACCCATATAGGAGTGTGTCAGCCCTCAGCATGGCAAATCCTTTAAGACTGGGTATGTGACCCTGATATTTATGTGGCAGTAATGCCTTAATACACACATAGGACACTAAGTGTGCTGTCCCCAGGTGGTCCACAACAGAGGTGTTTCCTGAGTATCTACATTATCAGCGGAAAAAGAGGGATTGCATAAGCATTGTCCAATTGACTAGTGACAGCCAGTGACATTGAAATTGCCCTGGTGGCAAAGATGTGTATCCCAGAAACTGCCTAAAATATCTGGCAGGAAGGTTTGCAGTGCAAGTGAAACAACTTTCAGCTTTTTCTAGTTGATGTGTCTGTATAAGTGAAGTGTCCCAGAGTCCCTGTGTTTGCAGACACATTATATAAGCTCTAATCCCACCCCACATATGAAACTTCTGTTAAGATCAGGACAGTTTGGAGCAGTACGTGGTATAAAAGTGATCCTGAACAACAAGTGACAACAGCTGAACTTTGTGGCTCTCGTCAACCAGTTCGTGCAGATAATTTCCCTGACAGGACAGTTGAATTTCCAGCCGAAAACAAGTTGACATGGGGTGTTTTATATGTTGTGCATAAATCTGATCTTGTTGTAGTGAAACAGAAGGATGCGTTGCACTTGTTTATCTCCATACACGGGTATGTCAGAAATTGGCTTATTCTTAATAGGAATGCAAGTGTTTGATGATGGGGAAACCAGTCATCTATGTACGCTTAAATGAAGATGTCCCTGGCATGTAGCTGAATTACTAATGCACCAGTGAAACTAATAAGAGGCCATGAAAGACCATGAAATGTACGCCATTCCATTATACTTGGATAAAAAGCAAGATAAATGTGAAATCACCTCATCAAAACCGTCACTGAAAGTCTCTTCCAATATTCCATTTAGGTAGATAGACCTTTTATCTCTGTGACTAAATGCTATTGTCAAAATCAACCAGAGAAATAGTCCATATGTGATCAACTCTTTAATCATTACAGAAACTTTATGCTGCATTTCTTTCTTCTTCTGAGCTGCTAGTAGTCTTTTCTTTGATGGTGGTTGATAGTGAGAAGCCCGTCTTAATCTCCTTACAGTCTCCATCCAGCTGTCAAGGTCATGTTTTGACTGATCAGATGATTCTGCAATTGAAATTACAATATTAAAACTGGTGGATGAGATTACTGAGATAAATATTCAGTTGTTTTAATCCAAATATGTCCATCTGAGAGCAAGATTGATGTTAAGATAGTTGTAATTATACCAATTATGCAACATCAAAGGGCAGTACTCGTCCTGCCAGGTCTTGTTCGAAGTGTGACTCATAGTGTTGTATACAGCGTGTGTACAATACAATGTTTGTTAACATGAAATTCGAACATCACTGCAAGGCAACCATCGCCCTTTAACTATAGAAACTGATTTTTTAGATAAAAGCAGAATAAAAATGATTATTGTCAGAAAATACATGTAGGTTGATTGTTCAAGATATCAGCTGAACAAGATTTATCTGAGAACAGCATTTAAACAACACTGTTATAAATTTCCCATATTGTACAGGTGACTGCATAAATTGATGTAAGACACATCATTATCTGTTGAAATATGAAATAAAAGAAGACTCACCAAATCTGAGAACATAGGCTTTGTCATTTCCAACATCATCACTTTCAGGGGTGACTCGGAACAGGGAAAAAAACATGGCAAGAAAGACTACTTTGAATGGTTGAATCAAAAAGATACTCTGGCAAAGAGAAACAGCCATAGAAATCAACCACTCAATGGAGCGTTGCCGACCATACTTCAACCCATACAACATAACAAAAAAAGCTGATACCAGACTAGTGCTTATGACAGTGAGCCAACCAATATACACAAACCACCATGGAAGATATCCTTGTTCATTTTCTTTGATGTGTTGCTGCATCAGGGTTCTTATTTCTTCATAGAACACGTCTGGTGACTGAATGTAGATTTCTTGAAGTGAATACATCATCTGAAATCTTTTCTTTGTCTTTTCAAAATCAGTCTCATTTTCAAATATATCATGCGGCATTTCTAGAAGTTCATTCATAGCATCTTCTATTATATGTTGAACATAAGTAGAAGCTTTCAAAGTTAATTCCTCATCACCCTTAGTAGCTGATGCTGATGAAGTACTTTTATTTGTCTCAAGGCTAGTCTTGGTTGAGTGTTCATTTTCATCATCTGATTTATTCTCATCTAGAGCACAATCTGATGACATCAAACTCACACCAGAACTGGTTGGAGTACCGGCGCCACTGGAGATTTTTTCTAAATCATCTCTGATATCCAATAAACTGTTTCGAATCATAGAAACAGCAGAAGAATTATTAACTTCAACAACAATTTTATTTAAGTCATTACTATGATCAATAAATTCACTGGAATTGTTGCTAGCTGAAGGAGTTTTCAAACTGGGTGAATCTTTAGTCTTGAGCTTAGATTTGTTCTCATATATGACTTTCCTAGACTTAACATTACGAAAAATTTGAACAATAATCAGGTTGATTGGGAAAACCACCAACCCACTTTCTATTCCAATCATCAGCTCTGTCATTGTCATTGTGAAATGTCCAAAGTCCATACTCTGTTCTGCAGGATCCTTTGGTATGCCGTAAAACATCAGTCCAGTCAACATGGTGCACAACAGGAGAGATAGACAGCATGAAATTCGCTGAAGGCGAGTGAAATTACTGTGAGGTGGTCGGGAAATAATGCTAAGCCAGAGATGCCCATCGGATAGATCCTTAACGGTCTTGGTAATAAACTTGTGTTGGAACTGAGACAAATCTTTTTGCGAGGCCAATGTAAATGTCTTGTCAATGAGTCCAGATTCAACAGACAACCAAGAGTTACACAAGAAATACCAATCATCGCCAGTCTGTAAATCATGAACCAAGACACGACTTACATACCTAAGAAATAAAGAAATCCATCAAGTTAAAATAATCGAAAATACAACAAATACATCATTTATTTGATCCAACATCTAGCTACTGTTTAAGTTGAACATATTTCTGATCTTGATTTGTTTAATACCCATTAGATCCTTGAACGCAAGTCATCAGAGACAATGTGTCCTACCCATTACAGTGTACATCTTTGTACCAAGTTCACGGAGGTTAATTAAAATTAATATTGGGCATGAATTGAGGAAACCAAGTCTATAAGCCCTTTGTTTCAGACCACTGTCCATACATGTATACATGTAGGCCATTGCACTGTGTCATCATTTGTTTACATTTTTGCCAACCAGTATGCAAATGAGTGTTTGCGATCAGCTTCGCTGGGATTGCTTTTAAAATCATTTTTATTTGGCTGGACTTCACTGAAGGTGATAAAATCTAAAACAAGTGATGTGACAATCAAAATAGCTTGGCTGTTTCAGCAGAGTGATCCCCTAATGCACAGCAGGAACTAATCTAATAGAGGTCCATCCAAGGTACACATATGTGTACAAATGATTGAATTTTATTTTACCAGAAAAGGAATGTACAAGAAACTCAAGGCATGTAAAAAACAACAACACAGTCCCCGTTAAATTTTTGAAAGTTCTCTTTGTGCTCATCATATTAAAGCGGAAAGATTGTCGCGAGCGTGTTTTTGAGTCCCAAGTGGCAAATACAACAGATTGTTTATTTACATCAAATTCAAACACGTGTTGCATGACGACCCCTCCGGTTTAAGACATAGCAAAGAAAAACATAGACCACAAGTGAAAGTAAAACAAATTGAGGTGCATGTCTATGTTATGGCACTTGCTAAAATTGTTTAACGTATGTTTGAGAAAATGCAAGTCTGAGGATATGAATGAGGCACTAAAACTACATTAAAACCTTCATCACTAATGAACAAACAGTTTTCTTTCAGGGGGGTTGAATTATAGGTTCAATTTCCTTTTTGGTGATACACTATGGAACATAAATGAAAATGTGGGAAATACCTCATCAGCTTTAATTAGGAAATATGTAACTGATTTATGGCAATATAAATGTAATTTAAATATATGTATTACTGTTTTCATGCAGCCGATACAAAGGTTGAATAAAAATTATTATTATTATTACATACATCTCATGAATATGAATGCTTGTTGCCATGGTGCCCTACAATGAATCTTTACATGGGGCATACAATGTTAATATATGTGTAATT